TCTGGGTCTTCCTGCTGGCATTTCCTTAAGTTACTTGCCTCCCACTCTTCTGCTTGCGTAACATTCATGAGTCGGACGTCTATTATGTCTTCTTTATCCTTAGCTTTTGAGCAATGTTTACATGGTCAACGGGACATAGCGTCAGCATTTCCGTGCGTATTACCCTTGCGGTGCTCGATTGTAAAGTCATAACTTTGAGAAGTTGATGGTGCATCTTCCTCTGCCTTTCGTTTTCGCTGTACCTCCTGTCTGCTGGAACTTGTTTTGCATTCGCGTGCGTAGTGACCAGGCTTTCCACATTTGGAGCATTTTCCCGCTTGAGTCTTGAAACCAGAACGATACATCTCTTCTAGCGATTTCAGAGTTCTCAATATTTCCATCATCACATCTGGTGTTCCAACCTCCACTTTATTGACCTTGTAGGATGGTCTGCTCATGAGTGCCGCCGTTTCACGTGTTTGTGCATAGGCAACAGTCTCAGCGAATGTTATCTTTGGATTCGCATATGTCTCTCGCTTGGTGTACACGCCTTTTATTCCGCTGATGAACCTTTGTATCTTCACCCTTTCAAGATGCTCACTCGATGTGTCTCCAATGGCATGAGCCAATCTCTCAACTTCCGAAGCATATTCCTGCAGAGATTCGTTGGATTTTTGGTCGCGTTTTTCTAACTCCATCTGGTAAATCTATCTTCTTACTTTACTTAAATGTACAGCGGATTTTTCCTCTATGCTCCAGTTGTTTGTTTCAGCTGTCTTCTCGAACTGGAGCTTAAAAACTTGAAATGGGATTTTCCCGTCAAAAGATGGTGTTTTTACCTTCGGAGCGTTCACTGAAGCGGTTGGACGATTTGGCTGCAATTCCCGAAAACGACTTTTCAATGCGTTGACCTCGGCCTCAATTAGATCTTGCCTTTCCTTAAGTTCCGCGCTGTTCCTCACCAGAGTTTGCTGTATTTGCGCTATTGTTCCTTCCAAAATTGATATCTGCTCTCTCTGTTCAAGCATTTGTGCATCCATCTTTAGTGAGATGCTGGCATTCTGTGCATCCAACTTTTGTGAAATGCTGGCTTCCTGTGCAGCCATCATTTGAGACATATTTTGTGAGATCGCAGTCAATAACAGGTTCATGTCAATACCCTTAGATGAGCCAGGAGCCTTTTCTTGAATCTTACTTGTTGGTGATTCCAACTCCTTCACAGAATTATCAGCCTCTTCCTTGTCAATGCCCTTCAAGGATACATATTCATCCTCGCGATGGAACTCACACTGGTTCAAGTCGATGCCTTCAACTTCCATTGCTTCTCGCAGTCTGGATTGCAGCTCTGCCTTATTTCCAGTTGTCGATAATCCTCGCTTTGCCAACTCCCTCTTGAGGAGAGGTATCGTCAAATCCTGAATTTTTTCCATCTCGCAAATATTATCCTTTGGGATTTATTTAACAATCCCACTTCTGACACCAATTGTTGCGATTTTACTAAATCAACCTCGATGATTTCCTGAATCCTTCGGGTACGATCTCTGGATTGTTAAATAAAAATCGTCAACTTAATTTGCAGTTTCTTTCGTTATAAGGAATTTATCTAATGGCCTTTATTTACTCAGTAATTCACAGTTCAATTACAATGCACTTTACTATTTACAATCACTAGCATCAACTTTCACAATTTACTTTACTTAAATGTAATTTCCAACGCGTTTACTCCGCTATAATCTATCTTAACGCCGACGAGTTCACTTTGTAACTGACTTGACTTGGCAGCTGAGTGTCGCCCTTATATAGCAGTCGGCTGTTCGTAGACGAAAGCGTAGAATAATCGAGTTGTTCGCTATCGAAGGTTCTCGTTTTATCGTTCTAGAACGTACTAGTTATTGGCTTCTCTCTTTCATCTGACATTCGCCTCGCATTTTCGCAACAGTATATTTAGGCGAAACACCTTTGTAAGATGGCGGCCTTAGGCCGCGCTTTTGTTTGTAACCCTGGGTCGGACCAACATCATATCGAAATAATATACAAAAATAAAATAACATTTTACTGCTAACCAAGTAAAATAAAAATACAACAATTTTTAGTAATCGCACGTGAACAGATTAAAGTTAGTATTTTGCATCACGTGTGTTAAATAAGTGCACGTGCTAAGTAAACATTTGTGATGACAGTGTAAATTAATAACAACAAATTATTTATAATTTATAAACATTTATGTGTTAAATATAATAAATAAACATAGATTAGATCAACAGCAACAGCTCCTGAAAATTTCATTAGGATTGGCCAATTAGTTTGGCTGAAACAAGCATCGGAGCCATAAAGGAAAAAACAGGCAGCGAGAAAACCGTCTCTACTACAAAAAGACCTAGGTCTCAGGAAAACACCTCGGGTTGATCCAAGAGGCCCACGCCCACAGAAACACGTCAAAAGTCGGGTACATTCTCCGGATAACTGGAAATCTGTGCTGATGGGTCTGTGTAGGGTGTATAAGGGATTATTACAAAGATTTCCTGGCCCTGCACCCGTAGTACGCGACGCAGAGTAGCACAAAGGCTACGCAAAACTTGTGACGTGCGCTGACGATAGAGCAGTAAACCTCTCTAAAGAGGCTATCGCTGAGGTTGGAACTTCTCAAGCTTGGCAATGGGGAGCTACCCACCTCTGGTTGGAGGATAGCCCAAGTTGGCGAGGTCAAGGAGAAGTAGTGCTTTGTAAGATTCGTCATAAGCG